TGCAGCAATCCACTGCTTCCACAATGATTCACCTTTGTTTCCACCTCCTCCCAACAGTCAACTGGATTACGCATCTATCAGTGGATTAATCTACTAGGTAAGAGCTCATGATCAAACCCCCTTCTCTGAACACTGCATTCTGTACCATTTCACCCCAAATCTAGGTTTTATGATACTCACATTTTAGAAATCACTGTGTTGCCAAGTATAGAGGCATTCAACTACTCAGAATCCTGAAGTACATTACTTGAGCCCAAGGCTCAAGAAAAGGCTCGGCAACAGAAGACCCCTAAGAAAATGACTGACACTTCCATATTAATGGATGTGGAAGGGGGTCAGGGTAGAATGACAGAGAGCAGAAATAGCTGTCAGCTAAGCAGTGATGTCAAGCATTCTGGGTTGTGCCTATAATCCCAACATTTTGAAGCTGAGCAACAGAGTTGCCAAATATCAGCTGGCCTACAGAGTAATTCTGAAACCAGCCTGGGCTAGAGACCTGCCTCAAAACAGAAAATGCATTAGTGGCTTTGGATATGACACAACAAATAAGGGGAAGAAATGAGGATAAATAACTTCAGGGATCTTGCAAGCCTGAGTTGGTGGAACCATGGTGGTATTTGGTATGCGTGTAGAGAGGGTCAAATTTAAGAAAAAACAGCTGCTCACCTGCTGTTTTCAACCAACCATCCTTTCTCCAACTCCATGCCTTTTTGCCTTTGTGAGAATGAAGTTCCTTTCACTCGAAATGCACTTTTTTCTTCTTTCCAGCCACTTTCACAGCAACTGGTTTTTTTTTTAGACAAGGTTTCTCTGTGTAGTGTTGGCTGACCAGGCTTGCCTCCAACTAAGAGATCTGCCTGCCTTTGCTTCCTCAAGTGCTGGGATTACAGGTGTGTGCCACCATGCCCAGCCGCAACTGGTTTCTAACAGCACCTGAAAACTCATCTCTACCACTCATGTTCTATGCTGAACTCATTCCTAGACTTCTTAGAAGCCTAGGCCTTATGAAGCTGTGTATCTTTGTGTCCAGGTATGATCTTGAACTCCTGATCCTCCTGATGACGTCATGGGTATGTGTACCGAGACCCATCTTGTAAAGTATAAGGAACTGAACCCAAGGTTTTGTGCATGTCAAGGAAGCAGTCTACCAACTTATATATCCTCAGCCATGGAGATTTCCCAAAACTTCCGTTTTGGAAAAGTTTCATCCATCTATTCAATACTGCTGTACTAGAACATTTTATAGACAAGATGAGAACAGCAGGGTTTCATTAGCACATTTAAAGTAGAATAAACTTTTAAGATTACAAGTAATTTCTTTCCCTTTTTTGTTGTTTTATTTGTTAGGCAGGGTTTCTCTGTGTAATAGCCCTGATGTCCTGGATTTGCTTTGTAGATTATTTGGCTGGCCTCAAACTCATCAATATTTACCTGACTCTGCCCTACCAGTGGTGGGTTTAAAGACGTGTGCCACCCAGGCCTGCTACAAGACATTTCTTCTAGTGGCTTAACTTCAGAAAACATACTGAAAAACATTAATAAGACAAAACTGCATATTAAAATCAATAAAAATTAGGTAGATCCATTTATTTCGAGTGTATTTTACAAATGTAAGTTTGGAAGGGCTATTTGACAAACTTCAGCATTAACCGCCAACTCTACAGACATCTTTAACACGGAAAGGCATTTATGTAGGGCCTTTGCATACAGGCAGTGTCCTACTGCATATCAAACAGTGGAGAAGCAGTGCCAGAATTGAGGGCAAGGAACTAAAGGAGTTAGATGTTTACTTTTACTGCTGTTTAGTTGATAAACACTGTATGATCATAATTTATGGCTATCACCACCACCAGTAATTTATAGAATGAATCCCACAGATCTACCTACTTCAAAAGCTGGAACTACCAAGAATATCCAATTGTCATCTATAGATGAGACACCACAGGTTCTTTTGATCCCAGTTTCTAAAAGTGGCAGTAACAAGTTGGAGAAAGCCAGGTAAGACTGGCAGTGCGTGCTGAGTGAGATCAAGATGGTGCTTTACAAGATATAAGTGCTTACATGTAAGGGCTGGACATGGTGAGGGAATTAGATTACAATGAGTTTGAATGTTGGGGGTGTGACGAGGCCGAAACAGAGAAGGCCTTGTTAACTCCTCAGAACAGCTCTTTCCATAGGCTACCTGCTTTTGACCGAACACTAAATTTAGAGCAGAGTTTAGGCTGGTAATTCAGCTTGATACAAGACTCTGTGATATTCAGATCAAGAATACAAGTCTGACTTAATAATGACTACCAATACATATTCAGAGGTATATTTTGATGACATCAAGTAATAAGAGTAATTGTAACCATGGAAGTAATAGCAAGTAGTGGCCTTGGCATGACTGCCTTCAATAGCTTGGACATTATTTCCAGAGCAGCAGGTTCCCTCCAATCCATCCAAATGCCATTCCAACTAGACACGAGCTGCAACTGTGAAGTCAGATGGAGCCTTCAAGATGCTTCTCATATGAACCACTGAACAAGACAGATTTAGACATTAGCCAACTTGCCTTTAGTATTTTTATCAACTTCAATTTAACGTTAAAATTAGCCACTCCCCAGACACAACTTTGACATAGAAATGGACAATTCAGTTCATTTCATCAAAATCTTCACTAAATGATGACCAAAGAGCCTGCAAAAATAGCTACAACTGAACTTTGAGGCAGAAAATCAGGAAATGTAAAACCTCTCTCAAGCACCAATAGAAGCCATGCAGCTATACGTACAAATCCTTAACAGGTCTTTTCTTGCAGAAAATCCTGAGATTTTACTTAAGCACTGCTACTTTATAGAAGGCAGGTTGGTTTAGTGAGGATATTTACTTTTGATAAAGACTGCTTTTATCTGGGGCACTTAGTATTTCACAGATCCTCAAGTCTTGAGGTAGGTTAAATATCAGTGTCCTATTTCACAAAACTCCAGCAGGTGTTACTCACTTGTCATAGACTATGAATCTGGTGTTCAGGAAGCATGGTCACCCTTAGATTCATCTACCTAGTGTTTGAACTTAATAGTAATGGGCTTCCAAATATCCATAAAAAAAGACTAGATAGCAATCCTATGATAAACTGCACACATTACAAAAGAACCCATCTGCTCATTACAAATATACTCACAGAATTAAGCTGCAAAATTGTCAACATGGAGTGTAAAGTGTTGCTTTTCTGCCTCAGGTTGAGTCAAGCAGGACCAATCACTAGTGTGGAACCACAGGAAAGCAGATTCACAAATGTAGCCATAATACAAATGATGCCTGGATTCCAGAGGCGGAGGCCTCTTGGGCCTCCAGCCTGAGATGAAAAGAACTGCATCAGCTCAGGCTGCTACTGCTTAACATGCTACAGCTCGACATCCTGGAGGGTAAGTGGGGGAGCGCTAACAATAAATGTGTCCCAATAAAGTGCTAATGTCTAAGTAAAACTAAACTATTTTATTAAAATGCCACGCATCGGACATGACCTAAATATTTTAATATGAATGTTTTGCCTATCATATAATTCACTCTAATTGTTACAAGCCCAATTCTCCTAGTTCATCATTATTCACCAGAATTCAGCCTATTTGACATAGTTTCCTAGACCAATCTTTTCAAATACAGGCTTCATTATAAAGTTCCCTTAGGGATAAGAGTGTAGTTTTGTGGTAGGTACAGTGCTTGCTAAGCACACGTGAGACAGTGGTTTGATCCTCAGCATAACAAAACCCCCCACAAAAGTCCTTTTATTTTAGCAAGTTTAAAAAGTAAAGATACATTATGCTTTTATATAAATGGAACAGCCCAATACGAGTCACAGAAGCAAAGTAAAGAGAAGATGGGGGCTGAGAAGAAACAGAAGGCAGAGAATGCAAGGCTTTTACTTTAGTGTCCCCAAACTTGAGCGTGGAAGTAAAAAGTTTCTACAGTAAGAAAGTTTATATCAATTATATGGTTTCTGTAAAGGTCAAAATGAAATGTGCTGCATAGAACAAAAGATATGCCTAAGCAACATATCATATTTGTACAAGGCCACTGAAAGTCATGAATATTAGTAACAAATGAAAAGCTTAATTCTGTAGCAGGCTGAGTATATTTCAGTTTGGTATTCTAATAAGCTCAAGATTGTAAACTATTCTTATAAAAAAGCAGTAATGGCAGGCAGATTTGTGTAGGAATTCTTGTGCTTCTGGTTGGCACATTATCTACTTTCTAATATGATGAATTAATACAGACATTTGTAAAAGGTTGTGCAAAACTACTGTATTTACAAAAGTGGCACAAAAGTGAATGCAGTAGTCAGTGCACATGCACACCCATTCACGTCTTCAACAAAGAAAGCTGTCCCCACACTGCAGAACCGAGGAAAAGCACTAGCTTCAGTGACAGCTGGTGAGCACTGGAGTCACACAAACCACACCACAATGGGCAAATATCGCCCAGGGAAGATGCTCTTGGTACAGCTGGAACTGCAGGTTTAAGGCCGTCAAGTCCAAGCAGTTATTCAAATCTTTTGCAGCCCATTAACTTGTGTTTGAATTATGTGACTTGTCTTCCAACTTGTGGTCTTAAACTTGTTTTACAAAATTCAAAAGGAAAATACAGAAGAAATCAATACAACAGAGGTTCTATTAAATAAGAGTAACATATAAAGCTGTAACTATGAGGAAGTAAGAAAAGCCAAAAAGCATTCAAGCTGTAAAACTTGCTTGCTACTTGTTGAAGCCAGCCCTACAACAGTTAGGCCATATATGTACAATTATTGTCACGTCAATTACTTATGTTGCTGTTACATGTCCTCTGTATCAGTGCACTGTGAAACTAACCAAAACCTCTACACATGTATGCTCCCTTCTAACAGTAGCACACACTACCACTACCTGCAAAGCTGTCAGTCTCAAATGACATAGTGAGTGGAAAGGAAACAGAAAGTGGGTAAGTAACGCAATAAGGAGAAATAAAGGACATTAGAAGACTCATGCAGTTCAGTTCTTTTAATCAGCCAGCCAGCTTGCTAGCAACCAGGGATGGTTTCCGCTGAGGAAGGTCCTGTGGAGTGGGAATGTGGTCACCAGTGACCTCTGTCTTATCCGGGGCTGCAGCAGGAAGCTGCTTATTCTTCATCTTTGCTTTTGCCATGTTGTAATCCCCAGAATCAAAATACTTTTGCTGCAAACAAAAACAAACAAACAAAAAAATGGATTATAGTTTTAAAAGTTCTTTGTTACCAGTAGACTGACTTTTGTTGGAAGAATAACATAGCTCTCTAACATTCGGATAAAACAGTGGGGCTGGAGAGATGACTGAATGCTTAAAAGCGCGGGCTGCTCTTCCAGAGGACCTGGGTTCAATTCCCTGCACCCATATTACAGCTTACAACTACTTATAATTCCAGTTCCAGGGATCTGACACCTTCACACTGGCATACATGTAGGCAAAACACTAATGTATATAAAATAAGTTACTAAAAAAAAATAATTGTGATGATAGTTTAAGAGCAGGATAGTCTATAAGCAAAACCAGATGAATCTGCCTTAATTCTGGCTTATAGCCATCATGTTTAGCTTATTTTTATTGGATATCTGCTATTTATAAGCTGATGTATCAAGAACTAGCAAAAGATAAAAAAAAAAATGATAGAGTAAATCAACCATCAAAACAACTTTTAACATCACAGATGCTGTGGTCACTAAAGTCTGGGTTTGGCAAAAGAAAATACTGCAGTGATGGTCTGCATAACTAATGAGCAGAAAAAAATTCTCACTTTGGAAACACCCATGTGGTAAAATAAAGTAGCTGGGAGTCAGCTTAGTGTAGGGCTCCTGAATGGTCTAGGGAACAGGTCTCACTAGGCGGCTCCTCCTGACTATTCTTTGGCAAGACAGATCTGGCCTATCTGGTCTATGATTAAAAACTACTTTTCAGATAGCAGTGTACAACTTTCATATGGAGCAGTTTGAAATGTGGTCCATGTACTTCCGAGGTTGCTGTAAAATGGGCAGAGAATTCTGATGCCCTCAAAATCAAGAATCTGCCTATATCTGAGTATGTGTGGCACACCTAGAATTCCAGCACTCAGGAAGTAGAGGCAGGAGAACAGACATTCAGGCTTGCCTTTAAAAAGGAAAATGGAGCACTGCTGCTTTTACTGGCTGGCATCTGGACAACAAAGCAGCCTGGCAAATTTCTTACTTACACTACATAATGTATGTTCACAGTAAGAAATTTAACACTGTGCAAACTAAAAAAAAAAAAAAAAAAAAAAAAAAAAAAAAAAAAAAAAAAAAAAAATTTGTTTTTTGCATTTATTTAGTGGTTATGTGTGCCAGAGCATGTGTGCAGAGGGCAACTTTCAGACAATGGTTCCCTCCTTCCACCTCCTGAGTCCTGGGGACTGAACTAAGGCTGTCAGGCTTGACAACAAGAGCCTTTACCCTCTGTCATCTTGCAGGCCAAGACTGGTACAATTTCCTTTGATTTAATAAAACTCAGTTTGTAACTAGAACTATTTTACTAAGAAAAAAATTAATCATAAAAGGATCTTAGTTAATTGCATATTGATATCTTCTGCTGAAAAGAAAAATAATTAAATTTTACTGTGGCTAGAATTTAAACGAACATTAAAAAAAAAATCACTGCTTGGTAGTTAGAACTGCCCACAAAACAATAAAAATCTCTACAGAAAATGAACAAAAGGAATGTTATCACAAGACAGTGAAACCCAGAGCCTGAGCAAAAAAAAAAAAAAAAGCTGTGACAAACCTATCAGAGCAACCACTAACAGGTGGTGCGGGCAAAGCAGACAGATTTTTATCAGATTAGGGTCCAACGGACACAGTCTAGCAGTGGTATTAGCTATCTAGCAATTTCTAAACTGCATGACTTTACAAAAAAAAAAAAAAAAAAAAAAAAACAACCCAAAACAAAACAAAACATCAAACCAAACCAAAAACCCCTATGATTACCTCACATTTGGAGTCTTTGTACAGCAGGAATATCAGTACAAGTTTGAGGACAGCTTGGGCTACATAGTAAACTCCAGGCCAGTGTGAGCTATAATGAGACCCTGTCTCAAGCCAAACAAACCCCTTAATGCCTGATAAAACATACTTTAGATCATACAGAAGACAATCTTATAAAAGCCTCTCTTCACATACATTTAGCCATTCATTTATTTATTTGAGGCAATATCTCATATATCCCAGGTTAACTTTAAACTCTAACTTGCTATGTAACAGGAGGTGACTTTGACCTCCTGATCCTGCCTTTTCATCCCAAGTGCTGGCATTACATAATACCATGCCCGACTTCCCACTAAAACTGAGCACACTGACAGTATGTATGTGATCACGTAACAAGAGAAATTCTAAAGCCATGTCTACTATAACTGGGTCCTCAGTCTTGGTACTTTACAAGCCACAAATACAGGAAATCACAGGCCAGACTGTGATTCTGACTCTGATGGGCTATAAACTCATCATGTACATGGTCTTATTGTTAAAAGCCCAGGGAAAATATTATATAAGATTAATTTCATAATACCACCTGGGTATGAGGCAGACCTAATACAGTAACTGAATGTAATTCAAGCCTCTCAAATAATACAAACTAAATCTTTTAGCGTGTTAACTATTATGACAAAGAAAAACTGAGACCTAGAACCTTGTGACTCTGACTTTAAAAACATTCTAGAACAATAACAAAGGCTTATTCACTGATACAGTTTGGGGAAATACAGAATCATTCAAACATTCACATCTCAAATTCTATATAATTATTTGAGTCAAGTGTCATTTGCTTTATTTATAACCATTTAGAACTTTAAGATACATTAATTCTGCTATGTGGAAACCATTTCCTAAATACTAATAACCAGCCAAATGCAAATACAAATCTGATGCCCAGGGATTATACATGATTATGTCATAGCTAAAATACACCTAATGCTATAGTTCTATAAGTAGACAGTACATGCACATTCCACATACCTATCCCTAGATTCCTGATGAGCTCAAGTTCTCTTTGTTATTTCTACTCATTCACTGCGCGGTCCTTATACTCATGGTTTTAAAAGTCCACATTCTCTATTTTGTTGACTCATTATAACTTACTTTTTCTCTGATGTTGAACATTGATGTGGCTTCTAATTATAGTAAAAGCTTTAAGAGGGAAAAAGCTTCAAATTTGAAGGTTTTTTTTTTTCTCAAACCAAATTATAGCCTTACCTTCATTATAAGGGATTAGTCAAAGAACTGAATAATTCCATGAATCCTACATAAAACAGTTTCAAAATTAAGAGTAATGATTTTAATGTTTATATAAAACAACTAATACATTACACTTAATTTCAGTATCATCAATAGGAATTATTCTAAATATTTTTCCACTTTGGTTGAATTTAGTATGATGAAATTGAAATTTCACTGATTTCTGTGATGGATGTAAAGCCTTTGTTGTAACAGTTATAGTTGCTCTGTTAAATTTCTCTATTTAGCATTATGCTACTGTTCTTTAAGGTCTCTGATTTATGGAATAATTTCCCTAGTAGAATCTGTTTTACAGAATAGAAATTATGTATTTTTCTATATTTAATTTCCTTATATTTAAAAGATAGTAATCCTTTCATTTTTTAATGTTTTATAAAACTTAAGGTATTTATTTAAACATAATCATAATTTAGGATCTTATACAGTAAGGAATTGTCTTTCACATATACTTCACCATTCTCTGATCCCTGTATGATAAACAATTCAAATGTATTTTAACTCTAATTTTCTACATTTTTTTTCAAGCAGAAAAAAGGAGTGGGAGAATATTTTAAAAATATCAATTAGTGCTACTATTTCAATACTAAGAAGAGAAAAGGGACAGGGGCCACACAGAAAATAAAGGGTAGGCTTGAATTATATCTACATTTACATTCTGACAAAGATGACAAGGTGGTAGTTTACAAGAATTCTTTTAAATTATCATCTGTACTATGCTACACACTTGAATTTAAAACGTTATAACTGCTTATTTTTATAATATTCTTGGTATGAACCATGGAAAATACTGACAAAGACAGACACAGGCATACGCACTTGGAGGTACAGATAAAGATACAGACATTCACCTCATGGTTGTCAGCACAGGGAAAACATCTGAAGACAATACTCAACAACTTACCCCTTTCTGCAATCGTTTCCTTAAAAAATCAGAACCGCCAGGCTTTTGTCCCAAGTGAGGATACCTTGCTTTTAATTTAGCTTCTTCAGCTTTCTCTGGACTAGTCACTTTATCTTCCATTTCCTGAAATAATTTCAAGTAAATTACTTTGAATATAAGTTATTAAAAATAATTCAACTTTTAATATCTAGATTCTGGCTTTCGTTGTTGAACAGCAAGTAATACAGCCTCTGAGTAAGAATCAAGCCCAAGAACCTTTCAGACGCCTCTACCTTTTTCTCAAATGTCCCATGTGATAGCTCTGTTATAGCTGTGATGCATGTGTGACACCCCACACACAGGATAAAAATACCAAGAGAGCTCAGCTCTCAAGTCTTGCTTGCAGTTACTTTCCAATCATGTATAATACATTCAGTTAGTCACCTTCTATGGAACTCTTCAGCTCTTTGTCTATATTTAGAGAATTTTTCTAATACTATCAAAATCTAAAAGATCTTTTTAATTTCCTATTCGTTTAAAATCATGTATGGCTTTTAAACTCCTAGACTCTTTACTAGACATTAACAACAGCCAAACACTAGCATATTTTCCTAACTAAATCAATTCAGAAGACCTTGATATCTGTAATGGAAAAAAATATGTCCATCAATCCTCACCTTTGGCTGGGTGTGATTGCTCATGACTATAATCACAGTACCCAGCAACCTAAGGTAGAAAGACGATAGCGAGTTCAAGGCCAGCCTAAAGCAAGTAAGTTCCCATTTCCTACCACCACCAAGGAAAAATTCTTATGTCAAAACGATCACATACTTTTAGGTATCCAAGCCTGCTTTCTGAAAAGACTGTCATTAAATGGCTCTATGCCGGTACTTTTGGGGGCTCTTGAGTACTAGTTAAACGCACTATTACTTGGTTACAGCCCTGGTCCTCTCATTATCTTAAGAGTATTTTCTTAAACACCTATCTTGATTCAGTACACATTCTTCAAAATGCTATTTTACAGGAAAGAATTTTTCATATCGTGACAAGAACAATGAATCAAAAAAAAAAAATCATAGGTTTCCTGTGATGGGAGGCTGGACAGCTGGCAAGGACACTTTTAGCTATTGGAGTCATTTCTCTGAAGTGGCAACATCACACATTGGCACATTTTGAGTCTCTAAGGTTATTTATGAAGTAAAACAGTAGAAATGTTACATCTATAAATGTCAAATCAAATGTTCTTATATAGCAAGTAAATAACTTATCTAGGAATTTTTCGCTTTTTAATAGATCTTTTCCTCAAAATTACATTTATACACATTCTACTCACCTTATGTATTATCAACACTTGACCCTCGACAACTCCCTTCTACCCCAGTATAAGAAGAAGTGTGAGGGAAAAGGTGCAGATGTCAGATGGCCTTTGTTTTCAAGCCTCCTTATATTAACCTGCTTTTTCTACTTCAGATGTCCTACTTCCCCTTTCCAGGCTGCAGTTTCATCTATCTATGCTGACTTCCAATTTCTTACTATGGCCATACACACATATGCTCCAAACAAAATTTACCTGCCTATTCAGCACAGGTAAGACTCTAATAATTATTTTTCCAGTTCTTACATTCAAGAATGATATATGCAACAGTTCAATACAACACAAATCCTGGGTATCTTTCTGTTGTAAGCTTGTCAACATGCTGCTTATTATCACTGTCACATTTAAAAGCTAAGTCTTCACAAGCCCACTACCTCAGCTGGTACTCAATTCTAGTGTATGCTCAAGTCTAGACCAAAAAAAAAAAAAAAAAAAAAAAAAAAAGGCAACTGCAACATCATCCTTTAAGGAGTTTTTTGTTTTTGTTTGCCTTTGAGACAAGGTTTCACTAAGTAGGTCTGGCAGGCATGAAACTCACTATGTAGACCAAAGCCTTGCACTCACAGAAATGAACCTGCCTCTGCTGGGGCAGTTAAGAAGTTTTTCAAAACTCATTTTATACATGATTTCTGACTTACGAAGAATTATCCAGGTAAGATATGAAGATACCATACTTATGTAAAGCTGGAAACACTATTTTTAAAAAAAAGTGCGCAGTCTACTACAAGAAGGTGTGCTAGAACCTTAGCGACATCTAGTGGCTGGCTCAGTCTTCACTACACAAATCTACTGCAACCCATCAGTATTTTACGAGCTGCAATTTCAAAGCAAAACTGGATGGAAGGCCCTACTATTCTTGGGTTTTCCTGTCCAGTTAGCCCTTTTTGGAAATGCTATTGAAAAGGAGCCAAAGTCAACTGCTAGCCTTTAGTCCCAGAACTTTCAAACCTTTTAGCCAGAATCAAATTTTGTTGAGCCAGAAAGACTATGCAGCAGGTAAAGGAACTTGCTACATAAACTTGACAACCCGAGTTCCAGCTCAGACTCTGATGGTGTATGGAGAGAACTAAGTCCTGAGAGTTGCCTCTTAACCTTCACATGTATGCTATGCTCACACAAGGCAAAAGGAAAGAGGCCAGTCAGATCTACACAGTAAGTTCCAGGAGAAATGTCTACACACAGAGACACTTTCTCATGAAAGAAACAAAAAGAAAACACACTTCTTTCAGTAACTACTTGAACCTAGGAGCTCGAGAGTTTGAGACCAATTAGACTGCATCTCAAAACAAAGAAATGAGGTAAGAGGAAAGTGAAGGAAGATTGAAGGAAGGAGGAAGAAAGGAACTCCAATTATTGAACTTCCTTGCCAATATGTAACACATTATTTATTCCTGCTAGTACAATTTCCTAAATGAATTGAAACTTTGTTCTGTATTCAACCAGAGAAGAGGAAATGACAGGCCTAAGCTACACTTTAAAATGCAGTTAAGCACTCTATCAAGACTTCCACAATACTTTCCATTAACCTGCTGCAGATGCAGACATTTTATGACCTTACATTAAGTAAGTGTAAATTGCTGGACGTTCACTAACATTCTAGCACAGCTATATACTTATTTGTTTATGGAGACAAAACATGGGGTGGGGTACTCTGGTTGCTGGCATCCAGCTATTCTTGCTCTTCCCTATATGCTTCCCAAATTACATCACTATCAGGCATCCAATGGTAGCCACAGATAAAAAAGCATAAGAAAAGAACCCATTCTTCTCTTGATCATGTTACAGAGCAGCAGGCCCTGTGAGTTCCTATAGTGGAGTACTCACAGACAATCAGGGGCTCCTGTAGCAGCTACATGGCAGTAGGGTACAAGACGCTGCTCCAAACAGGACTTACTCCTGCAGTCACTGACTTTCTTCAATCCCTGTCTCTAAAAACATCTCTTTCCCTTCTGTTCTTTCAAGAATTTGTGAGCCAGCACTTCAAGCCATTTCCTTTTTGTTTGAAATATACAGCTTTTGTTCTTGCCTTCCTCACACAATGCTTAATAAAAATCAAGTGAAATAATTATACCTATAGTTATGCTAAAAATGAAAGAGGACACAGAATCTGCTGTGGTTACAGGTTCTTGGATATCGAAGATGTTCCTGAACATTTACTTTAGCTAAGAATGAAAGCAAACTGGGAAGAAAAAAAAGAGCTTTGTCATAAAAAGAGGGAACTAGAAAACAAACAAACAAAAATAGGTTATATATTCATACATTAAATACTATACCCTGGATGTCTTTTACAAAGATACAGGGTCAGGTATGTAGCCTGTGTCAGACAGCACTGAGGGCCTGTGCTCACAACTTCAGCATCTGAGAGGAAGGGAGGGGCAGGCAACAATAAAAGGCTGGGTGTGGCTCAGTGTGGAACACTTGTCAAGAATGAGCAGGGACCCAGGTTCAATTTCAAGTACTGCAAAAAACAAAATGAGATAAAAAAGGAAAAACACGTAACAGGACAGTATTCTTAGCATTTAAATGTTTTGAAGTCATGATGGCTTATACTGACTGTCAAACCCTGACAGGAACAGAATCTTTAGGCACATCTGTAAGGGGGTTTGTAGATAGATGAACTATGAACTACCCTAGATGTTACTAGTATCATTTTATAGGCCGGGGTCCTAGGCTGTATTTTAAAAAAAGGAGAAAATAAGACTGAGATGGCTAATTGGTTTAAGAGAAGTTATACAGCTGTGAAGACTGCAGTTTGGATCCTAACACCCATGTAATAAGGCACATGCAGCAAACACTTGTCACTCCAGTTCCAAGGGATGTGATACTCTCTTCTGGCCTTCACATGTGCACTCAAAACACAACAACACATGGACTCACAAGGAGCTCACACGCACATGCAAAACACACACACACACACACAAAGTATTGGGGGGCAAGGGGAGGAAGAACACCAACACTCATCTCTGCTTCCTGGCTATAAAAGCATTGAATCATGTCGCCCTTTAAGTGGTGCATGCCTTTCATCACAGCACTCAGGAGGCAGAAGCTGGCAGATCTCTGAGTTTGAGGCCAGCCTGGTCTACCTAGGGCTATACAGAGAAACCCTATCTCAAAAAGCAAGCAAGCAAAACAAAACAAATAGAGGCCCTGCTCTCTGTGTAGCTCCCATGGTGGACACAGGATGGATAGTGCTACTTACTAGTCCCCATGATAAGGTACAAGCCTGTGCTGTATAACCTGCACCCAGGCGCCTGATCCTTGCAGGTAGGTCATAGCACCCCAACAGGGTTCAAAAACAATCACTGTTGTTCTGTCCTTGAAGAAAACCTAACCAGCACAAGAAGGCCACTCAGAAACACAGCCATTTTACCTAGATTATGCACTAACCAGAGTGAAAGCCTGGGCTTGGGAATCTCTCCACTGGAGGTGACTGGCATGGCAGCAAGGCTTAGGTGACAATTCCTGCCAATTCAACTAGGAGTAGTGTCAGGAGCAGAAAAGCCTGTTCTCCTGGTTATCATGCACTCTGCTGCTGCAAGAATAATTTCTGTCTGAATTTAGGCAGCTACTAGGAACTCTGGTCTCTCTTAAATTAATCCATGTGAGCAGCTATCAACTTGTTAGGCAAAGGGGGAAAAAGGCTTGAGAGTAGCACATGTATGTACCAGGCAGACACCATTAGCTCGTGGCAGATACATCTAGTGAGATGACTGAAGAGGGTCAGCTTGGATAAATTTACTGAGCCCTAATTGTGCCCCTCCCCAAAGCA